GACTACTTTTAACCACGTTGATACACGTTGTCTTCTGGTTTTCAGCTGAAAAAAAAAACACAGGCAGCAATCCTGCGTCATTGAATAAATTCTGCTCATTTTTTCAAATTTTTTAGACACGAACAAACAGTTTTCAGTCTGTTTTCTTTTTGTTCAAGTCGCCAACTGTCTTCTGCCTCTAAAACCACAAAATTTTTTCAAAACTAAATGGTACCGTCTAATTATTTGTAAATTGTAGACAAACACTTTTTCCGTCTCGCAGTACTGGCAATTGCGCAAATTAATTAGCTTGTTGACTTGTAATGATTCAGGGTGTGAAGATTACTCAAAAATGATAAGATAGATCTTTATCAAAAGCTGGTAAAAAAAAAGTAATTCAGAAAAGATTACACTCTTATAATTATACAGTTCATAATATTACTGTTAAGCGTTATTTTAAATTTAGATCAACCCAACTGTCAAAATTTGTCATTTAGATCAGTAGAGCATTCATAAAAGAGATGCTTATGATACGCTGATAAAAATCTATTGTCTGCCGTTTATTCTTGTTATATTTCTGTTTTTTATTTACCCTTAATTTGTTTTTTAACAGCTCTTTAATTTACAGTACAAAGACGTGACTTTCCAGCTACTCTTCTTTGACTGACAAAAAAAGAAGACAACGACGCTTTGAAACTCGAGAAATCAACGAATTTATTAAGGAATCTCCAGTAAGAGAGCAAATTGTACGAAAATAGTTTGTAAACTTGGCAAACAGAGATGAAATTTTAGAACTTGGCTGTCCTTCTAACAGGCAAACTCATTTCGGCGACAACAATTAGAAGACAGTCAATGACGCTAATCCAGAAGAGACTACGTATGCATCACTTCAGAAATTGAACGGTAAATAGTGTCTTGGCATTTGCGTACAACGGTGGAGAAAATGCTAAAACACCGCTTAAGCACTATTAAACTGAAGCATCCCTTGTGATAAAAAATGAGAGCTATATGAAAACCGGAAGACAATTGGACAGCAGATGTATCCCAATCAACCTCTTATCTGAATATCTCCACCATCTGGTTTTGTTAAACATTTGTTAAGTAATCTCAGAAACTTCCAGAATGTTTGCAAAACTAAAACTGTAAAAGATTTTTGTTCAGAATTAAAGAATACGAATAAAAATTTTAACTGCACTCCAAAGTTTACGAGGATTTGAAGGTCTTGTTTTTGCATGCTAACATCAAACTGCGTGTTTCATAAATCACAAAAGAAATCTGAGGACTTCCAAAATAAAGTACCGTGCCATTTATTTTATTTTCCAGAATCTTACCCCTGCTGATTGTCATCTTTTCAAAAATTCTAAACTTTATTTACACAAATAATTTACGTTGTTTGCAACATTTAAAATTTTTAATAGGAATTTTTTGCTTAGCAATTCCATAGATTTATAAACTGCTAAAATATCAAAGTTGTTGTCATTTTAGGAACTGTTTTTTTAGTTACAAAGTTTCTCACTTCAATGAGTAGTTCCGACCTGCAATAAAATTGATCTGTAAGAGTAAAAGAAAAAATTAGTTTTTATCTAAGGAACAACCTAACAGGAAAACCGTTCTTTCATTAAACAAATAGCTGAAGTCGCAATTCATCAGAAAAAGCTCCACATTTGATTAGAATGTCTTCACTGCAAGCTATAAAATTCTACTTCAAATGAAAGTAACTTCCCAACTGCAGGATGATTTAAAGGATCTTTTACAAACAGTTGGGAAAAGGACTGCAGAGAAAGGAATACACAGTTATTACTATTAAATGAACACGTTCTTAGGTTTTTTTAATCAAGAATACTTTTTTTCATCGTATTGTTGCTCCATTGAAAAACCGTCCATCAACTGGAAGTGAGAAAAAAATCAAACCATGAAGTACATTTGAAGTTCATTGTACTTACATCTGTTAAATCAAGGTTTTATGCCGCAAGTTTGAAAAGAAAATGAAACAAAACTTCTTCAGCTATGCTGCTAACTTCTTAACCGGACAAATGACCGAATTCTTGCATTAAAGCAAAGCGCTAGACAAAAGAAATAAACAATGAGAAACCTGCTTCCAAACAATGCAGAATTTCTAGATACTGTTTGCAGAAAAGTAAGCGAAATTGAACTAGAATGTGGCTGAAAGTTGAGGGGTACTTGGGAGAAGAAGAAAAAAGAAGTAAAGCAAAAAAATAATGGAAGAACTTTTGCGAAAGGTCTCAGGATAGTTCACAACCCGTAGACAGTTCTAAGTTCTATTCCAGTTCCTTCGCGTGCCTTAGGTTCTTAAAATGACAGTAATTCTTATTTCGTAAACGAAAACATTTAAAAAAAATTGTTCTCTGACTGCTAATGCAGAACCGCAGTAACTAATTAGCAATCAGGGTTTCGTCACATGCATGAGGCTTGTATGCTAAAGTATAAGCCATACGTAAAAGCTTTTTCCTGAACAAGCTGGCATAAAATACTGGTACGAATAAAGTGGACTTCGGGATACTACCTTAATAATACAGTTTTTTTCACTGGCCTATTAAGGAGCGTTTTACACCGATGAAGCAAAAAAACTGTATGCGGGAGCTTTTTTGATTAGAAAGTTCAGTGACTTGATTAAGATATTTCTAATTCCACTGCACTACAGCTGTTTGCATCTCATCTAGCCTCCGCAACCAAATTTCCGTTTTCTCTACTAAGGACATAACCAGGAAGTCCTCCATGTTTCTATTTGAGCTGTATAGTCCTAGCAGAAGCAGGTGTGAAAATGAGATTTGAAATGTGAATTTTCTGGAAAAAAAAAGAATTTTTTACGGAGTTTTACTGTTGTTTAAACCTTTGTCTGTTATTGTTTAAGATCTTTCACCATTTTTGCCACTTCATAATCTTTAGCACATCATTTATTAACCAAACAGAAAGTCTAAAGAATTGATCTCTTATTCACCTCTGCTTCTGCTCGACCGTATGGAACCTAAACGAGCAGAAACTCTTCACTAAAACTAGTACTTGAGCTGCAACAGATTCAACTAAGGACTAACTATGACAACCTATGTTTACTTCCTGCTAACTTTCTAACGATTTAATACCAAAGTTCCGCATTAATTCTTATAGCTTTTCACAAAGCGACGATCCGGCTGGCACAGAGTGTGATGGAAAAAGACCGTGACTAGCAATTTTTTGACGTTGACTTCCCTGAAAACTGTTTCTAGCTTTCTTCGAAGCGGTTCTGCTAACGTAACAGTGCTTAAAGCCCCATGCTCTTAACCAAATTCATCTAGAATTCGCGTTCAAAGAAAATTTCACAACTGCTAGGCACTTTCGCTCGAGGTGGAAGGCGGCTATTTTGTTCTTCAGCAAAAGAAAGAAAAATTGATTTCGGAAAATCATGCCTTTTTTAAAAAATGATTTGGTATTTTTTATGTGATCGAAGAGGCTTCACTTGAAGCCAACCATTAAGGAAAACGGAATTTCCTCCACATACTGCCTTTGACTAGATCACTTGTAGAGACATCTATTAGACAGGTATTAGAACATCAGGTTCGTTCGAGTGACTTGTACGTGGCTGTGAAAGAAGACGAGCTTTTTCATTTAAAAGTTTTGTCGCTGCTCCAAAAGTGAAAATCCAAGAGTTTTTGGTGCTGTTGGATGGCAAAACTGTTGTAGTGCCTTTGCTATCTGCCCGCTGTAAAGTCGCTTTTCCGATGAGTTGTTGCCACTAATTCAGCAGTGTATCATGCATAGTACGATCATTTTGAGTGACACTGGACGAATTCGTAACAGAATAGGAAATCTAGGATAGTTCTGCACACATTTCACTCTTAACCACTCTTTGAGTTTCTTCGTGCAAGCCGGTACTGTGGTCAGTGTTTCGAGGTTAACATTCTTATGAACACTACAGAGAGCCAACGGGATCAAAAAAAAAAAAAAAAAGCACAAACCATGGATGGGAAAAGTGGTGTCTTTGACACACAAATACGTGGATACGCATTTCGAAAAGTCATTCCTAACAATTTTTCAATCACGTCATGCTATGGATCAGCCAGTTCTACCTGCACAACTAGAACATTGTGATTAAATTGGTGTTTTTGGCCAGACTAACAAGTAGTCAAGGAAAGTGAAAGGTGAGTAAGGGAGCTTCATGAGGAAAGGTTTTAGACGTTCCATATCGTTGGGACTGCTGTTCAAAACTGTAGTCTTTATCTGTCGTAAGAGAGATTACCGATAAGCCTTCGTCATGAAAAGCCATGAGAATTGATGTGAAACTATACACACTAGTCCATCAGAAAGTTAGCATAAAGTGCACAAACGACCCTGGAACTATTGCAGATGAAACAATTGGGGTTGAAAATTCCATAAACAAGGGACAAGGGATGAAGGCAGGTTGAATGCAAAAAAGAAAAGCACTTTAGGGGTGAGTACACTTTAACCTAAAAAAGTGTACGGATAATTTTTACATCCTGCTGAAAGGGCTCGGAAAGTTATAGGTGTGCTGCTGAAGAAACAGTAGAAAATCTCGGATTTGTTGCCATTACTAAGCAGGGTATTTAACTATCACAAGAGTTAACACCTATTAAGCTATTAATGCGATAAAATCGGATTACCTCTGCTTTCACTGTAAGCCTACTGCGGTACTATCTCCCATACTATAAACTAAAAAAGTGATTTGGCAAGGTGCCCCAAAAATTTTTTTTTCCTATGAATATTTTAGTCTCTGTCTGCAGGAAATTGGCTTTTCATATGTTTCTGTAAAACTTTTATTGTACTTACCAGTCTTTTATCCTGGATACTTTTATAACTTTGGCTTTGAGTGGCACGATGTATTTCTAAAGTTAAACTAATTTTCTATCTTCGCGCTTTCCGAATTCAAAAAATAATGCTCCTGTATCTGTCAGTTTTCTGTTGTGGAACAAGTCGTTGCAGTATTCTTTCCGGATATGCTCAAAACTTTTATAAGATTCTGGCAACATTATTCTGGCAATCCTATTGATTATTTCAGGTAAAACGAGATGGGCAAAAAAGACAAGGGTGAGAAAAAAAAGTCTAAAGAGGACATTGCAGTAAGTCATCGTTTTCTTTGCCTGCTTGTTTTCTTGAAGAATCTTGCCGCATAGTGTTTTTTTGAATTTACAAATTCTTTAATTATAACTGTATTAAACGTAAATTCTAACTATTTTTTGCTTTTAACAGGAGGCACAGCACAGCAGAGATTTTGTTATAAAATCGTCTACGGAAGAAGCTAAGTTGGATACTTCGGAATGGCCTTTGTTATTAAAGGTATTGGCTGAATTATGTGTTTTCTGAGCTTGTTGTTTCTGCAGTTCTTTTTTTGATTAGATGTGAAGTGATTATATTTTAACTTTTAGTAGTTGTTTAGAATTTTGATAAATTGAATGTGCGGACAAACCATTACACTCCTCTTCCGGAAGGTTGTTCCCCGCTCAAACGTGGTATTAAGGACTATGTTTCATCTGGGTACCTTAATTTGGATAAGCCAGCAAATCCTTCTAGCCATGAAGTGGTAGCTTGGGTGAAAAGGATTCTTCGGGTGAATAAGACAGGGCATAGTGGGACTTTGGATCCTAAAGTAAGTCGTCGTTATTACTTTACATCTAATTTTTTTCACCGATTTCCTTTTGTCTTGGGAGTTAGTAAAATACAAATTTTTTTTTTAAGGTTTCTGGCTGTCTGATAGTTTGCATAGACAGAACGACTCGTTTGGCGAAATCTCAACAGGGTGCTGGGAAAGAATACGTTTGTATATTCCGTCTACATAATGCAGTGGAATCTGAAAAGAAGATACGTCAAGCGCTTGAAAAACTTACTGGTGCTCTTTTTCAAAGGCCGCCTTTAATATCTGCGGTAAAGCGACAGTTGAGAGTTAGGACAGTTTATGAGAATAAGCTGATAGAATATGATCCGGCTCAAAATATGGGAATATTTTGGGTAAGTAAAGTTCTCAAAGGATCTTTGAATATTGATATGGCATATTACAATGTAATCTTTCGGATGTTAATATTTTGAAGTCTGTGAGTAGTGTCTCTAAATTTCTTCTTATTTATAGTCTGTTTAGGTTAAATGTGAAGCAGGTACTTATGTGCGAACGCTCTGTGTACACCTAGGTTTAATTCTTGGTGTTGGCGGGCATATGCAAGAACTTCGACGTGTGCGGTCAGGTACAAACTTTTTGTTTATTTCAGTACTGTCATAGAACCTTATTTTTTGTTAAGTAGCACATTTTGAAGCAGTAATTGAAATTCTCTTTTTTTAAAAAATTTAGGGATTAGTGGAGAAGCTGATCAGTTAGTTACGATGCATGATGTTCTTGATGCGCAATATCTTTACGACCATTTTAATGATGAAAGTTATTTACGAAGGATCATTCGTCCGCTCGAAGCTCTTCTTATTAGCCACAAGCGTGTCGTAGTTAAAGACAGTGCTGTAAGGGCTTACTTTTTGACTCACCATTGGGATTTTTTTCAAACTTGGTAGATTCTAAAAGAATAAAATATTTTTACCAAAGTATTATTCGCAGGTAAACGCAATATGTTATGGAGCAAAAATTTTATTACCTGGTGTTTTACGTTTTGAAGATGGTATCGAACTTAACCAGGAAATAGTGATTGTAACGACAAAGGGGGAAGCCATCTGTATCGGTAGGGTTTATATTTTCCCTGTGTTACCAGAATGCTTGTTTATTAATTCCAGTTAGTTTTTTCTGGCAGTAAAAGGAACAGTTTATGGTGCTTTTAAAAGTATGACTAATGATAATTAACCTCATAAATTTCGATTTTATTTACAGCTGTGGCGCTGATGACTACTTCAACTATGGCAATCACTGATCATGGTATTATTGCGAAAATAAAGCGAGTGATAATGGAAAGAGATACCTACGCTCGCAAATGGGGGCTGGGTCCCATCGCGCTAAAAAAGAAAGCTCTGGTATCTAATTTTAGTCACGTGTTGCTGTTCATTTTTCCATTGACTTCCTATATTTTTTGCAGATTGACCAAGGCCTCCTGGGGAAGTTCGGCAAACCGAATGAGAAGACTCCAGCAGACTGGCGCTCAGCGTTTTATGACTTGTCTGTTCCACAACAAACTAGTGAAGCAAAAGAAGTAGAGAAACCTGCTGAAAAACCTAAACCAGAAACGGTATGCTTGAAATATTGGGTGGACATGTTACAGGAGTGTCGGTCCTCTTCACGCCTGCTAAATTCTTTTTATTTCGTTTTTTTGTTACTGTATGCCCTGAGAAAAGTTATAGCAAATAAACGCTTGCTTCTTTCCAGTCTCGGAAAAGGAAGTTGGAAGAAGAAGTCGACTCATCGAGCAGTAGTGAAAGTTCCTCTTCAGACGAAAGTTGATGTGGAGTGAGATTGCATTAGTAATTGTTGATCCATTGTTACCTTTCAATCCTCAAATTTTGTTACTTTTTCATTACTCAATTTTTTGTTGCAGAGTCGTTGTTGGAAATGTTACCTGGACACGTCTGTCACTTTTACTACTTTGTTGTAATTTCTAGAGATGTTTTAGCTTTTTCACAGTGTACGATGACCAAGACGTGGCACACCGATAAATATAATACCTTTATTATTTTCTCATTCAGGCACAATGGTCATATCGAACGGAAAAAAAAAAGAATTAAATTTGGAAAAAATTAATAATCCACTCATCACGTCAAAAACCGTACGTGTCTGCCATATTTTTATCAGCCAGCTGGTCTTCCAGTAGCCGAATTCGTCTTTCATGTTGCCGCAGAATAGCCTTCATTTTTTGCAAGTCTGCCAGAGCATCTTCCAGCGTTAGCGGCTGCGAGTTTTCTCTCCTTTGTTCATGTTGCCTTTTCTCCTAAAAATTTAAAGAAGCAGTAGTAGATATAATTGCCGGTCTACTGGGAAACTTCCTCAAGTACTGTGCACCTCCAGTAACTAATATGTAGTCACCTGATGGAATAAAAAAGCCAGTTATTTCGCAAAAAAACCGGCTAGTGCTATGGAGCAAAACTGAGAAAAATACCTCGCTTGGAACCCCTATAATACTGTGCCTAGGCGAAGCCTGTGGCATATGTGACGGAGGTGGAAGGATTTCATCCCTGTCAGATTCTCGAGCTTGGTCTCTTCTTATTCGTTCGAGTTCAATAGTTGCTCTTCTCTGACCAGCGGTTTGATTCACAATATTATCTCGATCAGAACGAGGTCTCCACTGCACCTAAATTGGTTCCTGCCAGTTTAAATTACTCCACGTCAAATTAAATTACGTCACTGATTCTAATGGTAGGCGATATCATCCTTGTCATTCCTCTAAGGAAACGATGGAGGCTACCACGGGACAATGGAAACCTTTGAGAAAACAGAAACAAAGGAGCAATGAAGACTTTGGATGACGGTTGCAAGTTCTGAGATTCAACGTCATCTTAGAAAGTTGTAACGCACTGCGAGTGCATTAACACAATCAATTTACGCTACCTCTAATGTTGCCTTGTTTTTTCTCGATGTCCTTAATGACAATGAGATTAAAAAGATAATGATAAAAATCACTCCCCAGAAGATAACGAGTCAAAAAAGTCTTAAAAGCATTATATTCAAAAAAAAGAGAAAGGAATAAAACCAACAAAACACTGAAAAACCAACGATACGCTTCTACTGTTTTAGGTTATAGCTTACTGACTGCTTACCTGTTGCCTGGGAGTCAATTGTGAAGTATTTTTTTCTGGGCAAGGTGCTAAACGTGATCGCTCTCTTTCTCCACTCGCGTTTCTCTCAATTTTTACTATTCCCATATCCTCATCCATAACTGGAGGTTTCCGGGTACTCCTTGGTGCAGGTTGCGCAGGCTCCTCAAATCGATACTGCTGCTGAGACTCTTCCGGTCGTGGAGATCTTTGAGGTGTGTCATAAGGTGACCTTGATGGTGAGGATGTGTGAAGCGTTGGGACATCCTGACTGCAAAAGGAGGAATGAATAAAACGAACAAATTTATTTCCAAGGACGAAAAGTAGAACTGTTCTGCTTGTGAAGTTAAAAGAGACTGAAAGCGCTTTTTGTTATTACTAATGGTGTATTGAACTAAATATTCATTTTACAGTACTCACTTTGGCTGAAGTTGGGCTAAGATATTAGCTTTTTTAGCTACTTGGACCTTTGGCTTCGCTTCCGCTGCACCAGGATTCACTGGAGTCAAATTTGGGGGAGCATTTGCACCACCAATCCACTGTTCAGCTGTCAGCGCCGGTTTTGGGCTTCGCGTGTCAGGATACAAATCACTCTAAAAATTTTCAACTTTAAGCAGGATGACAGTGTACAAAGGAAGTTCTTTATCCAAAAGAAATTGTATTTAAAGCGAATGACATTGCAGAGAACAAATTAATGAGTTGCAAACAATACTTGGAACAAATCAGATTTCCTAGGAACAAAAAATTGTAATTCATCGACAACTCCTTTGGTAGTAACTTTGTAAATGCGAGCGACTTCATTTTCGTTCGAATTGATCCCAAGTTTTGGCATAAAACCAATACCTCGTTGAGGCTCTGAGGTGGTAAAAGTATTAATATAATGTACGAATGGATATTCATTATTTATTTCGTAGTAGCGAATGGCACAATCACCCTAAAAAAAAATTCACTTTCGTCTTCACTGCCTAATTACTTGATTATATCGGAAGAAACCGGGAGAAGAATTAACCTGTAAACTAACGTGCAAAAGTTTAAACGTTTTCAAAAGGTTCAATTATTCAAGTGTTTCAAACTTCCCTTTCAATAGTTAATTTGATGCTACTTTTCTTCATAGCCGAACTTTCAAAATTGAAAGTAGTAGTATTGTTTTTTTACAGTCTACAGGTTCGTCCTCCACTGAATGGAGTTTAAATCTACACGAAACTAACTAGATAAAAGAGAATACCTTGCCAGCCAAGTAAACGAGTCCTGTATCCTCGTCATACAATGGGAAGAGAACGCCATTGCTGGTATCTAATTCTTCTTGGATTATTGGATTCTCAAGATTGTCCTGAAAAATCTTTCATTAACAAAAGCCTTACATCTAAACAGCATAATTTACGCTCTCAACAAAAGGATCAATTGAAATTATTTGCTGATCAAAAGCCTTCCGGATTAATGCAAATGAAATAACTGTTCAAGATCTTACTCTGCAGGGGTTCAAGCTTACGTCCGATAATACTAAATAAATTATCGAATAATAACAGAATGCTCTTAAAATCTGATTTTAACCTCCGCTGACCTGAGCACGAAGTGCATATAGTCGTTCCGAACGCTTTGTGAAGCCGGTTGTGAATATACGACCATCGCGTAGATAGACCGCCCTTTGGGGTTTGACTCCTTCATGGCCTGCACCCTGATGTAATACTTCACCAGTATGAGAATCAATCACCCGTATCCGTTTATCCTTGCATGTTGTAACAAACCTGCTACCTGCAAAATGCACCATCTAATCAGATTTTATGTTCACATAACCTCAGTTGTTTCAAGTCAGTCCCAGGTCACATAAAAAGTTACTGTCTAAATCAAAAAAAATTTCAAAAAAATTCGATGAACCGGACCATTTGGTGCTTCTAGAAAAATGAGAAAAGATTTTTTAGTATGACAGAATACTCTTCAGTTTCTTGAACAGCGCTGACAAAAAAAAATAATATTAACTTACCGTCGTAATTGAAAGAAACAGACCATATCTGATCCGGATGCCCAGCAATTTCTAGCAACGCTTCTCCTGTACCAACATTCCAAATTAAGATTTTGTTTTCGCCGCCTAAACTCAAACTGTAGTGAGTAGGACGTTGCAGTAACTAAAAGCCAGAAGAGCAAAAACAACTGAAAACAGTACCGAGAAAAAGATAAGAATCGGAATAAAAAAATAAGCAAACAAAAGAAAAATTTTGAAGTACATAACCGAGAAGAAAAAATTGAACCTTGCCGACATTTAATAGAAAATCTTAAATCAGAATCGTCAAATAAAACTGCTGAAACATAAGTGTTCAGTTCCTCAGCTCTTCTGCTTAAAACATCTACGTTGGGAACTGACAAAATGTAGAACCTAATTTTCTTATAGCTAGAGCGTTGTTCAAAAAATGCTTAAAATTCCCATTTGGAACCAGTAAAAATTACTAATACTGAAAAAATCATTTGATGTCCTGTGAATCTAAGCTAGACTCTCTTCAGCAATCAGCAAAGTGCAAAAATTCCTCTCCCAATTTGGCAATATAGAAGAAAATTAATCAGTTTGTTGTGACTAATGAGAGCCTTCAAACCATCAAAACTGCTCGAAAAAAGACTTCAAAATATTTCTCTAAATGATTTTTGCAGAACTGGAAGTCTGTAAGCCCTTCCGATCAGAATCGTGTCAGAAAATAACACAATTTATGACAAATTGAATTCTGACAATTAAATTTTGCAAACACTTAGTGAATGAGTCCAGAGCCCTAAAAAAACAAACTCATCTCTAAAACTGCGGAAAAATTCAAAGCATCATCGTACTTTTACTTATAATTTAAATTTTGAAATCTTTTACCTACTGTTAGAAGGATGTTGTTAGCTGTTGGATGCCAAGCGATCGTATTGACTCTCTTCTGATGGCCATTCAATTCGACTACTGGTTCAGTAAGTGTACGAAGTAATCCATTTGCAGGTATCAACCAAACCTAAATTTTGAGAATAAAATTGATCACATCTTCAACAGGTGAATGGTGTAAAGGTCACGACAAAAATCAAACCAATTTTATCAGACTTACTTCTTCTGCTGTTTGCTCCTTGTCTATCTAAAAGCTAATAAAGGAAAAGAGGCAAACTATCAAGAAATCTTACTTTACATGTAGTATCTTCAGAGCAACTGGCGATGACATTATCATTGAATGGACTCCACGCAACTTCCAAACAAGGAGCTCTGTGAGCGTCAACGTACGGGTAATCTTTATCGACCCTACCAATCTAAACAACTTCGCTGAACTCAATAAACAACAATTTTGAAAAAAAGGTACCTCAACCACAAGAAAAAACAAACTGGAACAAACTGGAAACAATCAATCATTCAAAGGACAATTCAGAAAATACCACCAATTAGAAGCGAAAGAAGCCGACTATCAGTAGGTGCTTTAAAATTAACACACCAGCTGCTACAGATACCGAAATCGCGCAACTGTGCGTTAATTTGAAGCACTGCAATCAAGACAAATATACATAAGATTGTGCTGATTAAAAAGAAAAATTTGTGAGAAAAATCCAGAGACATCAAAGCAAGATTTTCTGCATATCCAAATTCTGAGTGCTAAACAGCACTGAACGATACAAAGTGGTGTTTAGTAAAAAGATGATATTTTTCGCTGCCTCATTAGTAGCAGGCAAGACCTTTGATATAATCCCGCTATTCAAAATTATTCACAAGAAACTGTTCAAGCTGAGGAAACACTGAAATTTGAAATGCTCATCTTAAATGCTGAAATTACTTTAAAAAATGATAAACTTAAAATCCCTCTTAGTTACGCGTTTCCCCGAAGCTAATCAAACTCTGAAAACAATGAAAAATTTTGCTCCTCATACATTAAGATTAAAACACCAAAAGTACGACGTATTGTACTGCAGTTACTGTTGTCAAATTTTTATCTGCGGTTTTAAAACAAGTATTCTCCAAACTTTATCAACCGTTAATCTTTGTTTACCTCCTTTGCCGACCAGCTACCTTACTACTAGCTACCTAAAAATTTTCGTTAATTTTGTTTGCATAAAACCTCAAAATAATTCAGCACACACTGACTTCCCGACGACGTCATCGAAAAAAAATTAACTATAAAGAAACAGGACACCCGACACTACCAACTAAAAAGGAATTTTTACGAAACAGAAATGACAACTTCCAGAAGTACAAAGTTCAAAAGACGGTACGCTACTGTACTAGGAAATTAAAGAATTTTCTACTGTAACCATCTGTCTGTTACACGCATTTAAAAAGTTTATTTCTTCCATCTCCACCGAGCATCTGTAAAAACTAAAAACAAAAATAAAATACGTTTAAAGAATGAGAAAATTGAATCAATAGTTTTGAACAGATTTTCTACGGTCTAAATGGATCTACCATTTCAACCTTGGTACGGCTTTTAAAACTACAATATTCTCTTCTTATTTCTCTCACGGAGCTGTGTAAAAATGGTTCAAAATTTGTACTGCTGGCAGCCAGTGCTTCTTTCATATATCAAAAACTGACCAACCTTGACTATTCAAATGCACAGCATTATAAATAATCCCCTAAATCCTTCAAATAATAAATAAGCACTAAAAGATATTCAGCCAGCGTAGCACTTTAGTGTGATTTCAAATAAACTACTGTTTGCCATAGAATTATTTACTGAAACCCGTAATTTTGTACT